TTGTGAGGATAAATCACAGTAGGGATTGAGCTGTTCATTATGGTTTTGTTTTTCTCTTTGCAGACTGTTGACTATGCCTACAAACATAATCTGGCTTCCTGGTACCCAGAACCAGAAGACAAGGAAGCCTTTGTCAGATCCCTCATCTACAGCCCTGACTATGAGTCATTTGCTATTGATAATTACAGATGGCCACAAGCAGCCATGAACGTTCAAGATGTATAATTTTTTTAAACCTTTGATCCTTAATGCCATCATTGCCATGGAGGGTTGCCAGATGGTTTCAACAAAAATACTGGACACACTTGACATTACATCACAATCTACATTACATCTTATTTAGAAAATACTGGACATTTATATTTTCTCAATTTGTTTCCCGAACAGAAAGCTCAAGTACTAGACTGTCCAGTTCAAAACTGGACACCTGGCAACCCTAGCCACAAGTGCATCTTCAGGTGTGCAAAATTTTACTTATATGGAAACAGGCACTTTCTTACCTGCAGCTGCCTTTTTACTTTGCAAGTACTTGTCTAGGGAAAAGGACAATGCCAACAAATTCAGGGCTTACTCCAATAAGTCCTGCACTGCAGTTTCTACTTCCTTTAAAGCACTCCTGTAACCTTGCATAAGAGGTTGCTCTTTTAAACAAAGGTATGAATTGTAAATTTATAGCAAATCATAAAGGAACTGGCTTGGGTCTGCTCTTCTACAAAGAGATGATGGTAGAGGCCAAAGCTGTCATTGACATACACATAGAGCTGCCATGATTTTTATTATTTGCATTAATAATAAAAAAAGAGCTCTGGTCTCCTTTCAGCGGAAATCAGAAGTCGCTGCATAGGAGCCAATGAAGTTTGCTATAAGTTTACTTGAGTAGCTTATATCCTGGGACCAAATGGCTACAGCATTGCATGTGTCCCTTAACAATCAGTTTAAATGTATTAGTGGGGAGCATCCCGTCCTTAGTGATTCCTCTAAAAGGGAACAATATCAGCCCAATCTGAAGCTTTTGTTAAAGAGATAACTTAAAGTTTCAAGTATGTCTTTTTGCAGTGTTGTTGTAGCCATGTTGGTCTAAGGATATTATAGAAACACACTGGGCTCGTCTACATTGGCCCCTTTTCCGGAAGGGGCATGGTAATTTTTGAAATCGCAATAGGGAAATGCGCGGGGGATTTAAATATCCCCCGCGGCATTTAAATAAAAATGTCCGCCGCTTTTTTCCGGCTTTTAGAAAAGCCGGAAAAGAGCGTCTACACTGGCCCCGATCCTCCGGAAAAAGCGCCCTTTTCCGGAGGCTCTTATTCCTACTTTGAAGTAGGAATAAGATCCTCCAGAAAAAGGCGCTTTTTCCGGAGGATCGGGGCCAGTGTAGACGCTCTTTTCCAGTTTTTCTAAAAGCCGGAAAAAAGCGGCGGACATTTTTATTTAAATGCCGCGGGGGATATTTAAATCCCCCGCGCATTTCCCTATTACGATCTCTGAAATTAACATGCCCCTTTCGGAAAAGGGGCCAGTGTAGATGTAGCCAGTGGGTGAGGTAATATCTTTTCATTGGATCAACTTCTGTGGTGAAAGAAACAAGTTTCTGAGCTACACAGGGTCTCTTCTTGTCTGGAAAAGGTACTCAGAAGCTTTGTCTACACTGCAGGCTTTTGCCAGCGGAGATTATGCTAATGAAGTGCTCATTAGCATTTGTCGTGCTGTCATTTGCATATTCTCTGCTGATGCTTTTTGCGCAAGAGGTTTCTGTGCAAAAACAAGCAGTGTCGACGGGTCTGTTTTGCTCAAAAAAGCCCTTTTGCGCAAGATCCTTATGCCTCCAGAAAGGAGGCATAAGGATCTTGTGTAAAAGGGTTTTTTTGCCCAAAACGGACCCGTCTACACTACTTGTTTTTGCGCAAAAACCTCTTGCACAAAAAGCATCGGCAGAGAATATGCAAATGATAGCACGACAAATGCTAATGAGCACTTCGTTAGCATAATCTCCGCTGGCAAAAGCCTGCAGTGTAGACATAGCCAGAGTGTCACATACAAGGTGATTGGTTTCATGGTGCATTTGTCCAGAAATTCTTCCTCATTTTAGGTTCTATGATTGAGGGGTATTAATTAGACCACTTCACCTTCAGTGGTCTCTTAAAATATGTGTTAGCTATTTACATTAAACATTCTATTCTTCCTTGTGACACTCTGCTTTCCCACACTTGAAGAATGATTCTGTGGAGCTTTAAAGCTTGTCTCTCGCCAACAGAAGTTGGCCCAATAAAATCTTACTTCACACACTTTGGCTACGTCTACAGTGGCAGCTTCTTGCACAAGAACAGCTGTTGCGCAAAAACTTGCTGGGTGTCCACACTGCACGCGTGTTCTTGCGCAAGTAAATTTATAGTCTAGCATCAAAAACAGGGCTCTTGTGCAAGAGGGCAGCGTAGGCAGGCAACATGAATTTCTTGTGCAAAGAAACCCCTATGGTTAAAATGGCCATCAGAGCTTTCTTGAGCAAGAGAGTGTCCACACTGCCATAGACACTCTTGTGCAAAAGCACATCTCTTGCGCAAAAGCAAATGCCAGTGTAGGTGCGCTCTTGTGGAAGACTTTTTGCCCAAGAACTCTTCCGCAAAACAGTTCTTGTGCAAGAAGCTGCCAGTGTAGATGTAGCCCCTGTGTAAGCTTATCAGTTTATTTAAACCCTTATTCTATTCGTTCATATCATCAAATGTCTGCAACCTACATAACTACAATCAGAATCCTACACTCCACAGATTTTAAAGTATTTGATTTTCTTAACACATTCTCCTTACCTGGCTCCAAAATGGCCAAAAAAGATCTCAGGGAATAGTAATAAGATTTTTTTTTTACTTAACATGAAACAATACCCAAAGCATCATGGCCAATAAATTTCGGCTGCTGGGTTAAATACAGGCTTAACCATACAAGTCTTGGCTCACCATATCTGACTGCCAATGCAGAGGGATGGACATATGTTCATTTTCAGACTAACACATGAAAAGGGAAAACAGAATCCAATTTATTGTAAAATGATATGAATTGATGCATAAACAAAAAGTCTTAGATCATGGTTGGCTGAAAACAGACTCATAGCATAATTAAAGACAGCAATACTGCCACAGGGAACAGTAATGAACCAGTTATATCACATATCATGCTTCTTCACTGATATCACAGCAGTCAAATAGTTTTCCCTGAATTGCTGCAATGAGTGGAATTACCTATGTACATTTTTGTTTCCTGATTAGCTAAGACCTCTAAGTTCTTTTCCCAATTAAAATATCAGTTAAAACTAAAATCTGCAACATATCTGAAGTATAAAGCCAAAATTGGGAACTTTCTAGTTGCTTTAAGCTCCCAGTCATGCATGGGTTTACACACAGACTTAACTTTACACACTGAGTAGGCCCACTAACATTAAGGGGGGTCTATTACTCACAGCACATACAATTAAGTGTATGTGTAAGTCTTTGCAAGAATGAGGACCTAAGCCATTTGGATATCTGACACTGCAGTGATGTCAAGTTCCAGCAAGCATTGCGATTTGCTACAATTCTCAGGGTTTAACCTTAGGTTCTCCTCGGTCAGCGTTCAGCTCAATAAAATCTTTACATTCAGTTCTAGTGCCATAGAAATGGGCATGTGCCAAAACCTTAGCTGACTGCCCCATGTTTTGGAGGAAGACATTCAACATCCCACCTCGAAGAAGAGCGTATCCATCTCTAAACAAGTGTCAGTATCTGAACTAAAATCACTAATGATTTTTCTCCTTTACTTTAAGTTTACCGGTATTTGCATATCTTGCATGAGTTCCCACAATCTACAAAGAGCATTTTGAGCATGCCGGGGTGGCATGCCCACATCTCACGCAGCTCTTAAGCTAATATAAACTACATTCTGAATTCAATCAGTGACTAAAGCAGCAGGAGAAGAAACTGTTCCCCAACCAATGCACACTTCCATCCCAAAATACCTTCTGGATTGTATTATTGTCTTTAGTATTCCCTCCATCTATTAGGTGCTAGAATGACAAGTTAATCTCAATATTATTCTGCTTTTCCATGTACCGGTCCAATGGCACCCTTTCGTTGTTGCTTTATCTGTGAAACTGTGTTAATCAGTCTTGAAAATTCTCAGTGGTATTTTATGAAGATCGCAGACAAGCTGAATGTGCTGGCCATTTTATTAGAGAGCATTAAAGTGATTATGCAGGGCTTTTGTAATGCAATGACAAGTTTGTGTACTGTGTATGTTTCATTTATATAATCTGTTCAAGTTTACTTTAAAATGCACCATCCCTTTCATTTAAAAATCACATATGCCAAGTGGTTTCTGAAGAATATTTAAATTGGTTTCATATGGCATTCTAGACATTTGTCAGCGAGAGCCAGGCACACAGACTAAACCTGAAAATAGAATGTGCCGTTGCCTACCCTTGCAGGCACCAATCCAGCAAAGCAAGTGAGAGTTCCCATTAATGTCAGTGGAATTGCTTGTATGGTCAACTTCTTTACTTCATTGCGTGGCTAGATGACTATACATATGCTAAATTGAGGGGAGTTGAGGGGCTTATTTAACTGCACAGATTGCTAACATGAGTTGGTTGAGGTAGGAACAATGTCTTCCCTAAGCATTTCTGCAGCACCTCATTCAGTAAGATATTGTCTAGGGCTGGTGGGCATTTCTTGCAGTATAAATATGCAATAATAACACATCAGAATATAAGAACGGCCATGCTGGGTTAGACCAAAGGTCCATCTAACCCAGCATCCTGTCTTCTGACAATGGCCAATGCCAGATTCCCCAGAAGGAGTGAACATAACAGATAATCATCAAGTGATCCCTTTCCTGTCACCTATTTCCAGCCTCTGACAAACAGAGGCAAGGGACACCATTCCTACCTATCCTGGCTAATAAGTATTGATGGACCTAACTTCTCTGAATTTATCTAGTTCTTATTTTAACTATGTTAAACTCCTGATCTTCACAACCTCCTCTGGCAAGGAGTTCCACAGGTTGACTGCACTGTATGACGAAATACTTCCTTTTGCTGCTATTAACACAGTTCCAATGTACAGAAACAGTCTCTGTCCCTGCTCATGTTCTGGAACTGTTTGTGCAGACAGTAGAAAGGAACAGCTGGTGATGTCCTGAGAGAGAGGTGGCCCTACAGCTATCAGTAACAGACCAGCACCCAATCAAGGGTGAGTTTTTGGAAGGGGAAGAAGAGCTAGAAGTAAAGCCCCAATGCTACAGCCCTTGCAAAACACCTGATGAGTTCAACAAGCCTGGTGGGAATCCTGCAGGCTTTAGCTCTCGTGCTGTAGCAACAGTGAGAGAAAGCACTGCTCGTGCCAGAGTGCAAGACGGGCAGCCATCTGACTATTATATTCTCTTGGACAATTTATATTCTCTTGGCTTCTGTAGCAATTGGCAGTATTGGTTGATCTCTAGCCTAATTAGTACATTTCTGTCCTTGCCTCAGTGGCTGGGATCCAGCTCTTGGCCAGTCTCCACTAATGTGCAGCAGTTCGGCCTTTAAAACACATCTTATTCCAATTCAGCCATTCCAGCTGGACAAGTGCCTGATGAGCAGAGGGTTCCAGCAGAGCTTGCATTCAAAATGAGGCTGGGAGCTTAGGATTTTCTAAAAGGTTTGCTTGAGCGAGGATTTCAGCAAAGCTCCCAGGCCCCACACTGTAACAAATTGAAAGAAGAAGCCATTCTTACAGAAATACTTATTCCACTTAGTACCCACACTGTCTGGGGGACAGTGGGCAGGATTTGTAACTTCCTTTCAGAATGCCTCTTGCTATCTGACTCCACGGCAGAGATAAATGTTAACTAGCATCAACAGCCGATTTTTAGGCCAACTGAATGACTTGAAAAGTACCAGTCTATGTGAAGGCCCTGGTGAGTGAAACTGCCTAGACAGCCAAATAGACAGCAACATGATTAGTGGCAGTGCAAGCTGCTTTACCAGCAGGCCTCCCCTTGAAGAAAGAGATGCAACCGGTTGGTGTGAGATTAGGCCAGTCTCCATGCTGATTCAGTTCATCTTTGCTAAGATTGCTAAGAAATATATTAATTAGTGGCCACTATCCATTAGCTACTGGACAGAGGCCATCAACTCCTTTCCTACTAGGGATGTTAGTGTATAGTCATTTAAATGATTAACAAATTAGCCTGGACTTATCAGCTAATCCAAACAACTACACACCTACATCCCCCCTTACTGCCTCTGATACAGAGGCAGCAAGGGGGGTGGGAACTGGTGCTTCTGGGAAGCCATCTTTTAAGCTGACTCCCTGCACATGCCAATTCCCATAGGGTTGCCTTCCTTTCCCTCCTCCCATCACTGCCTCCCACAGAAGCAACAGCACAGGGGGGCAGACAGGAGCCATTGCTCAGATCTGCGGAGTCGCTTGCCTTTGCCCTCTGCAGTGCTTCATCTGTATCAGAGGCAGCAGCACGGGGTGGAGTGGGGCAGGAGGGATGCTGGAGCAGCCTCTGTCTGCAAGGAGCTGGGGACCCCTGTGGACTGGGGTGGCGGACAGGAGCTGGTCTGTATGGGGAGCCAATTTTTAAACCACCTCCCCTCGCAGGATGGCAGGGGACTCCCCAGCAGTGGGCCTGGGAGCTGGGAGCACACTGGTGGCCGGCCCCAGTAACCATGTAATTGCTAAAAATAGTTGCGGCTACACAATTACTAAATTAAACGATATCCAACATCCCTATTTCCTATGGAGCACTAAATGGTGATCTGAGAAGTAGCAATTACTGATCACTCCCTGCCAACTTGACTAAGGTAACAATCCTCTGCCCCTGAAACTGTCTTCTTTCTGCCCCTCCGGATCTTGTCATCAATTTAACTAACCTACAGATCTGGTACCAAAGCAAGGAAGTTACTGCTTTGGAACTTTGTTTAATTCAACATAATTCTCATAAAAATCTAAGTCCAAAAGCAACAATCTTTAGAACAATTTTCATTGAGCTGTGAGAAATAGCTCACCACATTCAGGGAAAATAATCCCCACAAAGAAAACAAAAATAGGGTGAAAACTTGCTTCAAACCATTAACCGGGATCCTGGGATGTATCTAGACTCTGACCACACATTGCTTTCCCCACAGTTGGTAGTGCGCCTCTTACACTGGAAACAGCGTCGGTATCTCTCACACTGGTCTAGTAGCATGAGCTTGTTCCCAGCACTAAAGTTAAAGAGAAACATGCTGAATGTTATTGACTGAGGAAAAATAAAGAAATAAGCTGCACCAGCTCAGCCCCAGCCCCAGCCCCAGTCCCACTGCAGTCAATAGGAACTATACCTGCTAATACCAGCAGTGCAAGTGGTTCTGTGGCTGGGTCATGGATCACACAGAGCCCTCCTTGTACAGTTGTAAGGTAAAGTTTGCAGCTATTCATACGGGGACTGAGAAAAGCAGCATCTGGGCCTTTCAACTGAAGTAAGCCAGTGCAGAAAGCATCAGTGCAGTACACAGCTGTCTGCTGCCAGCCTCTTTGGCATGGGAGATGTTATGAGAGGAAGACCAAACCAAACTGGACTTTGGAGCAACCTTTTGGTAAATCTAGGGACTCAGTCCACCAGTTGCATATATTACCAATGTCAGGGTGCCCAAGAGATGCCTCTTTGTGTGTAAGGAGTGTCTGATCAGCGGCTCTGATAGGTAGCTCCCAACATACAAGGCAGAGCAGAGTGGTTTTGTCCCACAAGAGGTGGCAGTAGGACACTCGTTAACTCCAAGACACCTTTGAAACCATATATACATCACCTATGGGCTATTGCAAATCACAAAACAGCTGATGGGCTTAGTTTTTGTCAGTCTTTTTCAAATGAAGATTGATGGCTCTGTCAGAAGGCCTTTAAAACAGACCCTAGTAAACACAGGGGTCCCTTGATGCACTAGACATGCAGCTAAAGGTACCATTCTCTCTGTACTGTCTCAGAAGGATAGCAGTGTCCAGCCATGTCAGCGATCTGACTGGCTCTATGATGCTAACTGCTTCATAATGTGGCATTAAGACACTCCCTTTGGGCAGTGGTAATGGAGCACTAAAACATAATGTAATGTGCCTTGATACTCCTTTAATTATACTCTTTATGCTATTATTTATTTTTCAGAAAATCTTTATAGATCCACCTTGTTTGGTCTATTATGCAGCAAAGATTCCCACCTCTGCAAAACCAGAGCAGACAGGTGAGATGCTAGGGACAGAACCCATAGCTATCAAAGGGTACATCTGCACAGTAGCACATAGCTTGTAATAAGCTACATAATTTGAGCTATGCAAATTGCATAGCTTATTTCAAGATAGTGCCAAATTCCAATATAGGCTGTCTAAACAGCACTAATTTCGAAATAGAGTGGCTATTCCGACGAGTCCCTTAATTCTTGTGCAATGAGGTTTACGGGATAGCATAACAAGCCTGTTATTTTGAATGTATTTTGAAATAATGGGATTGCTGTTAAGACACGCAGAACATTAAGACACGCAGCACCACTGTGCATACGTATCCAAAGTGCCCAGGTATCATGCGAGGATTTTAGCTGTAAGCAGTCTTGCACAGATGTTACTTAAGGTGTAACCTGAAGACAACGGCTGTGTCTAGACTGGCCAGTTTTTCTGGAAAATCAGCCACTTTTCCGGAAAAACTTGCCAGCTGTCTACACTGGCCGCTTGAATTTCCGCAAAAGCACTGACTTCCTACTGTAAGAAATCAGTGCTTTTTGCGGAAATACTATGCTGCTCCCGTTCGGGCAAAAGTCTTTTTCCGAAAGACTTTTGCGCAAAAGGGCCAGTGTAGACAGCAGAGATTTCTTTTCCGCAAAAAAGCCCCGATCACGAAAATGGTGATCGGGGTTTTTTACAGAAAAGTGTCTGTGGCCAATCTAGACGCGCTTTTCCGAAAATGCTTTTAACGGAAAACTTTTCCGTTAAAAGCATTTCCGGAAAATCATGCCAGTCTAGACGTAGCCAATGTGTTTAACGCGGGTAACATAGAAAGCATAAGCTGACAGCATGTATTCTAGGCCATACATTTTACCTCCAAGGCTTTGGTGTTGATATACAGGATGAAAAAGTCCCAGCTTTGCTGTCAAAGCCCTGGGTGAGTTTTCAGGACTGACAGTTTGAAATAACAGTTTTATTGAGCAAATGGAATCCAGAAATCAGGGAGAAAGAGAGAATACAGACCAACTTGCATTGAAAAGAATTGCACTTTCAAACTCAATTATTTTGGCCTGGCTAGCCTTCCACTGTCATCACCTGCTTTCTTGCCTTCCAGCCCAACACAAAAACAGACAATATAAAATGTCACTATAAACCCACCACAGGACTCTTGGAAGTGAAGAACGTTTGTCAAACTGAAAGAATGTCAATAGACAATGTGTGTCAGCTGAGAATGCATGTAAATGTTATTTTCTTGCCCCAAGTCCAAATGGCAGTGACTTGGGAGATGGGGGAGTTTCACCTTCCTCTGCAGGCTAGGTCACTGCCAGCATTAACTGGGTATGTCATATTTAATCAAATCCCTGCCATTGTAGGGGGTCTAGGGCACTGGTGCATCTCTGTTCCCCTTTTTTTTCTGTCTATGGCCACATAACAGTACAGTCTGCTGTAGGATGTAATACTTTGGTCTGATTTTGGTTTGCTGGGTGTTAGTGTGTGGGTGCAGGGTGGTATTACATAAGAACAGCCATACTGCATCCATCTAGACCAGTATCCTGTCTTCTGACAATGGCCAATGCCAGGTGCCCCAGAGGGAATAGACAGAGCAAGCAATCCTCAAATGATCCATCCCCTGCTGACCATTCCCAGCTTCGGGGGCTTGAGACACATGGGAGGTTTGACTAGATCAGGCCTGGGCAAAATATGGCCCATGGAGGCAGTGGGGAGCCCCAGGAAGGCTCCCCTACTTGCCCTACAGCCCCACATGCTACTCAGAAACATGTCTTCAGGGTGTTTTCTCTTTATGATTCCAGACAGGAGGGGAGAAGATTCAGATGCTGGTCCCGCTCCCAGCATAATCCCATTGGCTGGTTTCTGGACAGAAATTGGCCAATGAGAGTTGCCTGTTTGAATAACAGGTAGTCACAAAGCACAACCCTTCTGCTCAGTTACTCACTCAAGCACATGACTGAGCAGGCAGAAACATTTTAAGCTCTGCAGGCAAGCAGGCAGGCTGGTTTGGCTGCTGGATGGTAAGTCCCCTGGCCAGAACCTGCCTCTGTAACCCAAGTCCCTCCCTTCCACAATCCTCTGCCCCCCACTCCTATCCTGCTACTCCACATGCACCCTTACCCCCTCTCAGATCTGGCACCCAAATTTCCTGCCTGAGATCACAATCCCCTCCTACTCTAGGTCACACCACAAAACCCTGCACCTCAGTTCCCTGCCCTAGGTTGCAATTGTCTCCTTCACCCAAACTCCCTTCCAGACTCCATTATCCTTCTTGTATCCGAATCCTTTACCCCAAGCTCCCTTCTGCACCCAATCTCCATCCTAGACTCTGCATTTCCTTCATTAATATCATGGAAGAGTGCAGTCCTTGACCACTTTCCAAAACCTTGGACTGGTCCCCCCCCCCCATCAAAAATTATTGCCCACCCCTGGACTAGATGGTTTTGTGACCCACCTCTGTCCTTAAACTCTATCCCTGTGGACCTAGTTGTATCTCTAGGAACCTGAATACCCTTTAGAAATCTGGTCCTTACATCCATTAGCTTGGAAATAATACTGGACTCAAACTTCTTACATGGTCCAGCTACTAATGCGGGACAAAGGCCTGTACTGAGTTAATATGGTTTTGCTTCAAACCCATTCTAGCATGAAGCAGCACTGAGATCGGTTATGAGGTTGCCACTTCCCCGTGCACTGAAAGCAAAGCACTGCAGCAGGTGTGACTAGTGAAAGGAGAGGCACTGTTGCAAGGCAGCAAAAATGGGAAAAAAAGATGGGAAAGCTTCTCAGTGTTTTGGGGATCTTACCGCTCAAACAGCTTCTCTTCAGCTTCCCGCAGCCTTTTCATTCCAACGCTCTTCTGCCAGTCATCCTGCATTGCTAAATTCATCTGGAATATTTTCTCAAACTGAGATCCTCTATCTGCAATCCACCTGAAACATTTTTTAAAAAGTCCCTCCTGTAATTCATGGACGCATCTACCTTCTACTCCCCAACTCTGGGACCTCATTTTTTACAGGATCATTTGAGGTTTACAGGATCTTTTGAAAAAGGCTTCTATTTTCAAAAGAACTGTGTCCAGACTGGTTTCACTTTCGAAATAGCGCTTTTTCGAAAGAGCGCCATGATGCGAATATGCAAATGATGTGCAGGAAATTCAAATCCAAGCTTCATTTGCAATTTTGAAGTGTCTAATTTACATCCTTCTGTCGAAAGAGGGATGTAGCCTAGACACACCCTCAGTCAGTTTGTCCTGAGGTTTTTGTAGCCGCAGCCCCAGCATGGTGGGCTGTCTAACATGACTCCCTCTCCCTGCCAGCACAGAACTGTTGGAGGCTGTGACAAAGTTAATGACTTTCACATGGAGCCCACTACCTGAGCCAGAAACCCTGTGGTGCTTAGAAACCCCACACCGCCTTAGGTAGAGCAGGCTGCTCTTGGCAGAGTGTATGAAAGCCTCCAGCTCCGCTGAGAAAAACCCCCCACAAATTCAGGCTCTTGTCTGAAATGTTCAGCCAGAAATAAGCCTAAGCCACAAAGTTCAGCTGTGAACTTGCATAGACTGAGTCAATCTCAGCAGAACGCTCCAAGTCTCCCCACTTAGACCTGATCCAGCAAAGCGCTTCAGCCAAGCTTAATTTTAACCATGCTTATAGTTCCCACTGAAGACAATAGGACTACGCATATGTTTAACTGTAAGCCTATGCCCAAGTGCTTTGCTAGACTGCAGTCTTAAAGAGGAGCAAATGCACCCTGCTGCCCCTTCCCAGAGCCTTGAGAGGCAATTTCATTTCTGCTGTTGAATTTTCTCAAGGCTTCACAGGAAATGGTGCACTGGATGGAGTTGCCCTGCTTACTCTCGCTTGGCTCTCTGCAGCATGTCGGCTTCTCTCCTCTGCTCCACCAGCTGATTGAGAATAGCCGTCCTCTTGCGCTCTGCCACTGAGTGCAGCTGATGCTTGTAGAACTCCTGGGCTCTCTGCCTTTTTTCTGCAAGCTTCTCATTGGTCATGTCACTCTTCCCAAAGATGAGGTCTGCTGAGTCAGGCTCGCAGACCGGCAACTGTATTGGCTTCAACTTTACCTGTGTTAGGTTGAGATGAAGATTTTTACCATGGATCTAATCTCACGTATGGCTCTGAAAACTTTGAATATCAGAAGCTACGGTTGTGAAAAAAAAACGATTAAATCAGATAATACACTTTCTCTATTCTCGGTGTAAATGTCACAATCCTAGAGGATTCTACCACTTCCCTTGCTTATTTTATAGGCTAATAGAGTTCAATGCCAGGAAGCACTGATTGGTATTTAAATCCATAATTTTCCTTTTAAAATTTCACCTTATAGAGGAGCCAGCATGATGTAGTAGATAAGGCATTGGACTGGGAGCCAGGACACCTGACCTGGTCTGTGACCTTCAGCAAACTTCTTCACCTCTCTGTGACTCTCCTTCCCCTCCTGCCTTCTGTGTGTTTCATCCATTTAGTCTGTTAGATCTTCAGGGCAGGGGCTGAATGCTGCCTAAGCTTTTAAATCTAATGGCAATTTCAAGCAACATTTTTCAGAAAAATTCCATGATAACTTTGTATAGCTCAACTCAATCCAAACAGATTCCATAACTAGTCTGAGGGGAGGACAAGCTATTTTCTCTGCCAGCACACTGAAAACTCTGCCTTATTTTAGGTGTTACAAAGACTCACCATCTGGACAGCTTTAAAATACTGGCTGTAGTGCTAATTCTTAAAACTTCAGAGGACCTTATTACAATTTATAAGTTTTTTAATGTGTCACCTTCGGATATGATTTATTTCCACTCTTCTTCACAACTTTCTGAGACGCATCCCAGTTTTTAAAGACACAAAACTTAGCCACATAATAGTTCAGAAAGTTATGAAACATGGGATTTTGTTTTGTTTTGTTTTAAAAACTTTGTCTAAGTTACACTATGAAGTCAGTGGACTTGGCCTGCTGAGAAACTCACACTTAATTATTAATCACAAATGTTTACCTGTGTATCCAAGGCTCTCTTATAACACTGCATTTCTTCCATCTTTCCCTTAAGATATTTCGCTCTTTGGGCAGCTAGCCTAGAAAGAAAAATACAAAATAATCTCAAGAGTTTAACTGAAATGGTACTTCTAAGACATAAGCATGCAGGACTCATCCAGGCAAGTCCTGTAAAATACAGGTTTACCAATAGTACTTCTTAGTCCATAACATTTAGCTACCAGCTACAGCCCATGATTCTCTCTCTTACCAAGATGATTCTGCTCCCTCTAAAATAAATAAATAAATAAAAATAGTACAAATAATAATGCTGAATTCCATTCTAGAGGAAGACATTCAGAATACTGAGCTTGAGCTGTGTGCGCGTCATCCTAGCTTACACACAATAATAGAGCAACAAGTCACTGGCCACATCAGATTATTATGATTATTATGATTTGCACTATGCTGATGCATACCTTGGAAGCTTGGATTCCCTAAAGTTAGCAGAAATAGAGTTCAGATCTCCTCATGCTCCAAAAACACAGTCAGTTCCTACTATCTGATTCAAAGGAGGTCTCCAGTATCTACTGGCAGTATAGGATTTATGACAGTATAAGTATTCTGGTTCCATCTGGCAGAGGACAGTGATACCTTAGCCAGCTAGTTTCTTAAATCATTGTCCTTATGTTTGAAGAGGCAAAAAAAAAAAAAAGTTCACAAGGATGTAACAGGTTGAAACACAGAGGACCCCTTGAGACTGTCCCTGGTGTACTGATCATATCACTTATCTGCCCTTTCGGATGCCCCACCACCCTGCCCCGTTGGGCCAGATGCTCTGGTCTCCCGCAGCAAAGGCACAGATTTGGGATAATAGCCCCCCAGCAGAGCAACACAGATACTGACAACGGCTCACCTCTGGAAGATTCAGCTACAGAGGCTTGACAGCACCCAGGATAACAGCCCCGAATAAGATCAACTGCAAATAAACCCATCTTACTCTATATAAAAGTTTTGCAGAGAAAACTCGTAAAATGTTTGCCTCTGTGACGGGGTGTGCAGGTGGGGTTAAGACCCTGCGGGAGGAGGAAGTCCCACCCCTTCACCAAGACTGGGCATGCTCCAAATGCTGGGGCAGCATAAAAGGCAGCAGAGCAGCTCAGTCTGGGCTGGCCAGCAAAGGGAAAGGACCTCCAGCCAGAACTCTGGAATTGCAACAGCCAGTGATCCAGACAGTAGGAACCAAAGTTCCAGGAGATTGCCGCTATGCAGACTCAGCGGAGCCTCAGGGAGAAGTGGCTACCGGGGAACTGGGAGATCCAGCTGCTACATGGGACCACACCTCAGTGGCACCAGTTGGAATCAACCCAGGAAAGGTGCAGGAACGGCCTCTCCTGCCCAGGTACACTTGGTATATTTCAGCCATATTCCCCACCAAGGGAGCGGTAGACCAATCTGCTGCTCACAGCATCCTGAGTTGGAACTGAGTGGAGCAGGGCCAGCCCAGGTTCCCCTAATGGGGCTGCTAGCTGCCCACCCTACTGACTCTGGCCATTAGGCAACACTGCCACAAGTGCAGGGCTGCTTATAGACGCTGGCAACTAAGTCACCCGACCCTGAGACAAGGGCTGCTTATTGACTCATACTGCCCTGTGATCAGGGCTGCTTACGGACTCAGTGTTACCCTGACACAAGAGGATATTTACAGATTCTAGAGACAATCAACAACCCTGCAACCAAGTAGGTGGCGTCATCATCCTGGAATATTCTCACACCTGTGATGGGGTGTGTATACCCCACCACAGCCCCCTTTATCAATGATGCACAGCTGTTGCTCCCCATCAGGTTACAATTATTTACACTGGGTTTGATAAAAAAAAACAAGTGTTTTTATTAAGTATAAGAAAGTAGGATTGAAGAGATTGCAAGTGAAAAGAGACAGATCAAAGTAAGTTACTAAGCTAAAATAAAACATAACATGTCAGCTCAGCCTAATAAACTAAGAGACGTGGTTACTAATTATACTTTTCTCACCGTAGTTCTTATCTCAGATGCAATTCTTCACAGGCCAGAGCTGATCTTTTTATCTCACCTGAGCCCAGCAATGCTCCTCCACCCTCTCATTACAGTTCTCACTTTTCCAGGCGTTCTTGTCTATCTTTTTAGGGTGGGGAGTCAGTTTCAAAAGCCATCTAAAGATACCATTGTTTGTTCTCCTTCCTCAGGGCCAGAATCCTTTGTTCAGTTCTTCCCATCCCCAAGAAAAAATACCAGATTCAAGATGTATTCCAGCACCAGGTGGCATGATCACATGTCTTTGTAGGACCAACCACAGTTTAGGCTTACAGGAAAAACAAAAACCATTCACAGACAATTGTTTTGAGCATCGGGCCATTAAGTTCTATTAAGTACCACTAGTGGTTTTCACTAGAAGACCTAGATTAATAAAACAGGTTTCCACATAATATTTCTAACTTCACATACAAGAATGATATATTCACTCACATACAGGGATCATTCACTCACAAAATAAAGCCTTTTCCGAAAGATCCGCATCTAGACTGGCGCTTTTTTCCGGCAAAGCTCCGTGCCGAAAAAAGCGGCAGCCATTTTTATGCTAATGAAGCGGGGGAGATTTAAATCCCCGCTTCATTAGCAATTGCGATACGTCTAATTTGCATCCCTTTTACGAAAAAAGGATGCAATCTAGACGTAGCCAAAATGTCTCTATTAACTTGAATGGATTTACAGCAGCATAAGTAAAATCAGATATGGGATAGCAATGACACTAAACAAGACACACACGAACAGTCTTTACCCCATGAAGCCCCTTCTGTACCATACAAGAGTAATCCAAGTCATTCTGAAATCAGCAATCCCTATCTTTGTGCCATATCATATAAGGCAGTAGTGGCTTCCCTTCATTCCCCATACTAACATTGTAGGCATGAATTGGTGAATGTAGATTTTTAAGGATATTTATGAGATGTTTTGTTGCTGTATTTCAACATGTATCTCTTTGGCCTGTACTGTAGAATTGATCTATAATATCACAGAGACATGACTAGCTGGGTGGAATGATTCCAGGTTGCACTTGAGAGACACAAGAGGAATATTTTAAAATTGTATTTCTGATCACACTCTCCAAATCCAGAATTCAAAACAGAACCGGACAAAGGCCAGGTAACAATTTGTGCTAATACTTCTTTCATTGAAACATGCCTTTTTCGGCGTGCCAATGCTGTTTATGAATTCAGGTCAAATTCAGTGAACAGTTTTAGGGGGAAAAACAAAAGAAAAATCAGAAATGTTGGAATGGTTCGTTTCCAAATGTCATTTCAAATCGACATTCGACATAGTCCATTCTGCCCAAACACAATTTTTTCTGTTCTTTGTTTTGGCAGGAAAAAATGAAAAATTCAATTTCTGTTGAATTATTCACTCAGCTCTAAACAGAACAGCTTTTATTACCATTGCTTCTGGGTCCTAACTCTAGTGCCAACAGCAAAAGAAGGGTAGAATGAATCTACTCCCACCAGTACCATACCCACCTCCTACGCTCAGCAGAGCTAGGAGCCAGACTTACTCTTCCGCAAGCTGCACTTGTTCCAACCGATCCATCAGCTCTTTGTCCTGCTTTAGTTTTACTTCCTTCTCCTTCTTCTCCTCCATTTGCTTCAACAAGTCTTGTGAATACTCATCTTGCTTGGCATAGGGAGGAGGGGTAGGCGACCGTTTAACAAAAACAAACGATTTCTGCAAGGAAAGAAAAACATGTTACATATCTGGTGGAAGAAACAAGGCTGAAGACAATACCATGAAAATATGGCATTATTTCCTTAAATGCAAACACTGGGAAATCATTTCAGGCAGAGATACATTAGCAGCATCCAGAGAAGGAGGGAATCCCATCAGAACCAGGAGAATCTCCCCATCGATCCTCCTGGATAGGTGGCAGAATATTGATAAAGGTCTCACTAATGTCCCCAAGCATCCCAATCACTATCACAGTTGTTATTACTGTGCTGTGATAGATAATCTTCACTTACATTACAGGAAAGAATAAAGGCTTCTATTATAGGAATTACTGGTGTATTCAGCAGGTCAAACAAAATGATGATAAAATCTGAACATAATACATTAATATTCTCCCTTGCTGAAAGTTTCCACATTGACAGGGTTTGTCTAATAATGCTTTGGGTTTCCACACCCCTGTGACCCAGTTTCTCATGTTTATTTCCTTCTTATGCTAATAGAAAGTCAACACACAGATTGGGCAGAAAGTTAGCAGGATGAGAATAATCTTTTTTGAAAGCTCTTACGTGAAATTCTGTGGATTTTTCATTCTTGTGGTTTCTCATTGCTTCAGCCACCCCCAGATTAAAGGCAGCATTTTTTTGGTTCTGTTCTCTGTTTGCTAAGAATTTCATCTATTATGGGAGGAAAATAAAATACATGCATTTTAAATGGAGGTGTCAACAGAAGTAATGTCACAGCAAAGACATCCTCCAGTAATTACATGTCTATTCTCAGAACACCCAATTTAAGTTCTTCCTTTTATCATGAAATGCATCATTATGCCCATTAAAGGCCTGATCCCCAGCCCATTGATGTCAATGGGAAAATTCCTATAGACTTCAATGAGTTTTGAATCAAGTCCTAATAGTTTAGATCAGCCATGGCCAACCCGCAGCTCGCGAGCCATATGTGGCTCTGTGCCCCCACAAAGG